ACAAAAAAAAAAAAACCCCCCCCCCCCCCTCCCCCCCCCCCCCCCGGTGTTTGCCATCGTTTTTTTTTTTTTGGAATGGTGGGGAGATTGGTTCCAATTTACGGCCTATCTATGCGGGCGTTCCATGCGACAGGAAGGCGTTGACGTGAACGGCAGAAAACGGTTACAAATATGTGCATCCAGCAGCCAGATCGAAGTACACCGACGGTCCCGCGAGGCGCCAAAAAAAAAAACGGCGCAAGTTGGGCTTGGCCAACCAGCGCGAGACTTGGGGGTCAATTCCTGTTTGTTTCCATTTTTTCCGTTCGTCTTTGAAGCACTCAAAACAACTCAGCGTACTATGTACAGCAGGCACCTGTCTGTCGTTCCACGTGAGAAACACGTCGCGTCGCTGTTCGGATATTTCGCTATTGAATGGAGATTTTTTTTTTTCAGTCTTCACTTCAAATCACCAGTCCTCACAGCGAAGCATATTTGTGCCGTTTTTGCTCCAACCCGTGGTCACACAGAAGGGTCCCTCTCCCTGAGGCCCCCTAACCACCCCTCCTGCGGTGCTTTGCCTTAGCACGCTCTTCCCCATGTGTACAGGAACTACAGCAGCAGCAGAAGAAGATTTGGTTAGTACCTGGTACTCCAAGTGTGTGTGTGTTTTCGTCCTCAAGTATGTATGCATATGTGCATCATTTGTTTGTGCGCATGTATCCATGTATCCGTGTATCTTGTTTTTTCTTTTCCGAACGAGATAGCTACACCACAGGAGTACGTAGTTAGCACATAGCAGTGTGTGAAAAACGCTAGACGCGCTCCTCACTCAAGAATCCGCTCATCGTAGATACCGTAACATGCGTGCATGTACTGCTGTAGATAATGCACGCAAGATCTCCTGTTCCTCTCGGAGATGGCTTAGGCCACTTGTTACGGTCTCTTTTCTATTAGATCTTTCCCCCCCCAAAAGAGACGACCCAAAAAATGATCTACAAAAAAGATGACCCCCTTCTTGTGGGTGCTGGTGCATCCTTTTTTCTATTCCGAGTCATCGACCGAAAAAAGAGACCCTGCAACGGCCGTTCGTCACACATACGTACACCTTCCACCGCTACGGTATTTCGGTGATATCTCCTTATACAGTGAAGCAACAGCGATGACAAAGGCATCCGCCACGAGCTGTGGGTATGGTCCGTCTTGGGTGGTGGCTGTTAGAGACCACAGGGCGATTGGAGGCACGGAAACTGAGGCGGCGAGGGTCAACTGAACGCCGGAAAAATACCCACCGCGCCAGCAACCAGTTTTGTTTTGCTCCTTGGCCTGTGTCGCAACTTTGGTTTATCGATGCTCCCTCGCCACCCACTCCAGCACTAGCGATGACAAAGGTATCCGCCATGAGTTGTGTGTATGGTCCGCGTTGTGTGGTTGATACAGACCAGGAGGCTGAAGGGCGCTCAAAAATTGTGAGCGCAAGAGTCGTGAACCAGCGGGAAAAATGATCCGCCACGTCTTCAAGCATTTTTTTTCTCTTTCGCCCGTCTCGCAACTTTGGTTCATCGATGCTCCCTCGCCACCCATTCCAGCAACAGCGACGACAAAGGTATTCGCCATGAGCTGCGCGTATGGTCCGTCTTGTGTGGTGGTTGACACAGATCAGGAGGCTATAGGGCGCCCAAAAGTTGGGTTCGCAAAAGTTGACACCAACAAAGCCCCCGCGCTGCTGCGTCCAGACTCTCTCCGCTCGTTTGCCGCTTGTTTGCGCCGCACCCATCGGGTTGTCCACTCGGTCCAGCCGAATGAAAAAACAACGCAACCGCTGATGCTACTGACTCTGCACCAGTCACATGACACAGCTCGTGTGAACACCGTTAGAGTTTGCGGGGATCAACCGTCGAGAGAATAAGTTTGTAGGTAGCGTCATGTGGTTGTGACCAAAAACAGATCACAGAAAAAGACAGCCCCGACTTATCCAAAACTGCCCCAGAAAAAGACAGGATGGGCTGTCCAAAACGGGTTGTCTTTTATTGTTAGACTTTTTTCCCTGAGAAAAGACACCGTGAGAAGGGGTTCTGTGGCCAGTTGTCTTTTTTTGAGAAGGAAAAAAGAAAAGACAGCTCCAAAAAAGAACCGTAAGAAATGGCCTTAGTCAACAGGAGTACAAAAAAGGTTCGTCGCGGATGAATGTGCAAATAGCATAGGATAGCTCTGTACTGTTCGTATCGTGTTTTTGACCTTGCTGCGCATTCCATCACCCGCTACCCTCTCCTTATCCTTAGCACACATATCCCACGGCTGGTGCTCCCGTCTCTGCGTCTCTCTTATCGCTCTGTGTCTCGGCCGCTCTTTTCTGAGCTCGATCTCTCTCGGGAGCTTCCTCTGTGTGAAGGAAGGAAATCCAGACCCATGGTAAACTACCGCTGCTGCTCTAGGTATCCTACGGCTTTCTCCTTCGAACAGCAGTGAGACGAAGGGGTCAAAACCAAACGTATTTGCATGTTCACACGTGAAAAATGTACGAACCATAGTCTACAGTGTCATGCACCCACAGCAGTCTGTCGTCAAGAGGTCTGTCTCAATAATTGCATTGGCACGGATATGACTGCAAAACTGGTATCTGTGCAAGCCTGTGTACATACAAGACGGAATCTTTGCGAAAGTGAGCCATTCGGTCAAAGGTCAAATTTGAGAATTGGAGCCAGAACAGAGAGCAAAATCCGCCCTTGCGCCCAGCATCATTAGTCTTTACACCCCAACGAACCTGCCTGTGGGTTTCCTGCTGCTGTAGCAACCCCGCACCCGTAGCCTCACCTCTGCGTATTCGTGGATGCTCATATCAAGCATGTTCCCCATGGTCGTTGCCGCCGCTGCCGGCTCTCGGCCCCTGAGAAGACGAGCTTTCCCCCCAGGTCGAGCGAGAGCAGTAGTAGTACGCAATGTCTGCCAACAACGCACCACCAGGTGTCTGTATGTCAACCTCCTCCAAAACACACAACAGCGGCGGAAGAAGGAGAAAGCAGAACAAAACGGTCTATGCCGTAGCCTGTGGCAACACCAGCGACGAGGGAAAATGGGCCCCGACTCTCCAATCTTCCCGTTAAGCTCTCTCTGAACGGAGGTGCGCAAGCCTATTGCTGTGCTTCGATGTTGTTGTGGTGTGACTCTGCTGTGTGTGTGCTTGACGTTGGGCAGGGCAGTGGGGCCAGCTTTGCGGCGGTTCGGCGGTTCTTTTCGACTCAATTCACTGAGTGTAAAAGGTTTCGCCGCCTCACCGGGGGGGCACTCAGATGGTGCAAGAATCGATATCGATTCCACGTAGCCCCGACCACAGCACTTGCTTGCAATGCCGCCCGCGCCCCGCTCGTTCGGAGCACTGCTGTCAGCGCCGCAGCGTTGTAGCGTAGCGCACGATGAAGCAAGCTTTGCCGCTTCTTCTGCTGTCTTCGGCGGGTATTGCGCAACATGCGCTTTCGTTCATGGTCGCCCCGACACCTTCCTCTTCATCATCATCGTCCTACAATCCGATCATGAGGAAGGTGGGTATGTATCATGTCGCACCGCCGGCCCGCTGGTGTCACCGTTCTGATACAGCAGTCGGGTCAGGTGCTGATGCGGTCCGGCCGTATATAGCCACGAGGAGGTCTGCTAGCTTCAGGATATCGGTACTTTAGATGCGAATTCGTTGCCCACAATCGTGATTATCATGATTTGTCAAGATCTGACGACATTCCTTCCAACAACGTCTGTCTCTGCCGGGGATGATACCATGGGTACGATATTTACTTCGGATCACATGGGTTGATACACTTGTTCTTGCAGGTGGAAGGAGAACAGCGATGAACAGCAGCATCCTGCGCACGAACCCAGGGCTAGAAGCGGCTCCGACAGCAAATTTTCCATGTTGCCATATTTCGGAACAGTCCCGTTCCTCCAAACATGCACTCACCCACGATACCACGCCCCTCGCTCCTACTCCCCCTGTAAGACCCCGGCGAGATCCCTCGCTAGCAGCAGCAGCGACAGCGATAGCAGTATGGGTACCAGCAGCAGCAGCAGCAGCAAATGGCCTTCGAACTTATTCCAGGAGGGCCTGAAGATGACGCGAGGGGGTTTCAGCGTCACCGCGGCCGGCGCAGCGCTCGCCGCCCTGCTCGCAGGCCCAAGCCAGGTGAGATTTCTGCGAACACACGGCCGCGGGAAAACTGTTAACTGCTGATACGAACACGCTTCGCCCAGTATCCGGCCGGTTTTTTTCCCGCTCACTACTTCAAGACTTCAACACCCCCCCGTCGACTGTGGTTTCAAGTCGAACGGGTAGTCTTTCTGTGATTTCAAGTCGAACGGGTAGTCTTTCTGTGATTGTAGTACTGCTGTATGTACATTTTCCGACATTGCTCTCAACCTTACTATAATATAATTGGCGTGTCACAGCAGTAAACCAAGAATGCTCCACTGCCTGTAGAACAAATGCTGTAGTGGGAGACAGTCTGGTGCTGTGTACTCTCTGCTACATAACTGCTCGGCGCGATCAGTGAGCCTGAGGGCTTGCCCTCACAGCGGTGATCTACCATGTCTCTTTTTTGCAGGCGGAGGGGGCGGGGAAGAGGACGGTGGTGTTGACCGGCGCCAGCAGCGGGATTGGACTTGATGCCGCAACGAAGCTGGTGCGCGTGTGCTCCTCTAAACCGTGGCAGATGTATATCGTACTTCGTTTTTTTGTCCTGGTTATGGTGTTGCTGCGACCGCGGGAATCGGGACGCGCGACTCAGCCACTTAAATCCACGCGTGTTTGTTAGTCACTCGTCGTACCGTCTGATGCCTACCGTAGGTTGCATGATGTAAGATATCACACCCCCTGGACCGATTTTCAAAGCTCGATTACTCCACGACGAAGAGGATGCCGAAACCAAAGGATGTGTTTTCGGAAGTTCTCGACGACACGGTTCCAACGCCACCATTTTGGGCGTCACCGTCACTGCTTTTCCTGCCGAGAATTCGAGCTTCGAAAATCGGTCCAGGGGGTGTGACATCTTATGCAACCTACGGTAACCGCTACAGCGTGGCCGTAATGGCACCAACTCGGTTCGGCACACCATTGGGTATTTATGTTTGGTTGGAGCTTTGGATTCATCGACGGTAAAATACGTTGAAATTTTCAGCTCAACTCCTAGACGTGTCTGTAGGTGAATGCAAGGACTCCTGGACTCGACCACCAGTTGTCGTGCTCGTGCAGCGAGCATAATGTTGGCAATGCGTGTCGTTTTGAGCGTGCGCGCATGGCGGCGCTTATGATTCGTCTCCGGGGCATCCCAGCGTGTGCCGCCTTGTTTGTGCATTGTACACCAGCGTGTTGACAACGTTGTACACAGAAAACAACGGAATCCTGCTTTGTTAGAAAAACGCAGAGGCAACGAACGCCCCGCGGTGCCTTCCATCGGTCAGTTCTGCTGCCGTCAATATCTGAATGACCGAAACTCCCCGGCCGTAGCACAGTTCACGTATTGTACTGCCATTTTTGCCGAAGCTCCGAAGGCCGCAGTAACGTTCATGTATTGTACTACCCTTTTGGCCCCAACTCCCTGGCCGCGGCAAAAGTCCACACGCACAATAGAGTACAATTTTGGCCGTCACGTTGGTTCTCCGGAGAAGGTGGCGATGGGGCACGACGTGCACGTGGCCTGCCGCACGGAAGCCAAGGCCAAGGCGGCGGCCGAGGCGTCGGGGGCCGCGGGGGCGTTCGCGTGTGATCTGTCCTCCTTGGAGAGCGTTCGAGGCTTCGTCGACGCCTGGAAAGGGAAGCCCATCGACACGCTGTGCCTCAACGCTGGTGAGCGGGGGTCGTAATTCGTTGCTTTGGCTCGATTTTAGATTACGTGTTAGAGCGATTGTGCAAGCTCGCGTGGCGTGCCTCTTGAAATGAACAGTTCCTTGGACTGGATTCGCGTTTCGATAGTTTGGGGGGTGGGTCTTCCTTTGCTTTTGTGGTGGAGGCTGTGTAGGACAGGGCGCCCTGTTTTTATGGCATGTGTGGTGGTGGTCAATTGACGGACGTAACACATGACCCCCCCTCCCCCTACTCCCTGCTGGCGCCCCAGGCATGGCCCCCAGCACAAAAGGCTCTCCTGGCTACTGCACAGAAGGCTTTGAGGAGACCGTAGGGACTAACCACTTGGGCCATTTCCTCCTTGCCAACCTTCTCATCAAGGTCGGTGGTGTATTTTTGGGTCCCTGTGAAGCTCCCGTAGTGGAATTCAAGCGCGTGCGAGCAGCTCGAGGGGGCGCAGAGTTTCGTTGCTCTGTCGCAAACCTCCAATGCGGTAAGGGTATTCCATCCCTCCCTCCTGAACGTCTTGGCTGCTCTGCCCCCCCTCCCCCCCCCCGGGGCTCCGTATACATGCACGTATGTGTGTGTGTTTCGGCAGCCGCTGGAGGCCGGTGCCCTTCGAACTCCGAGGCTTGTGGTGACCGCGAGCAGCGTCCATGACCCGGACACTCCAGGGGGCAACCAAGGCTCCAAGGTCAGACCGAAAAAGAAGCGAAGTTAAAAGCGGTACTGCTATATACGGTGTGGATGATGTATACGGTGTTTAGCAGAGACCGGGACGGTTTTTCAATGTGACGACGAACGGCACGGAGCACTCAATATTCGGGCTCCGACCTACCTGATCTTTTTTTCTTAGTGCCCGTTTAATTTTGTTTTTATGAATACATAGGAGATATCAGGAGCTTTGTTTGTAAATGCGAGAGACGGTAGTTGGGAGGAGTTCACGGTGAACGAACAGGTTGCTGAGGAAGAACCTGCGTTTGTTCGACGGCAGTTCGAGAAGAATGGACGGCATGTACTCTCTTTCTAAGCTTGAAAAAATGCGAAGTCCCTGGCGCTGTCATGGTACACTATCTTTCATGATACTTCGAAGTGTAGTAATTATTTTCTCTACTTGCAGCAACTTGTTTACGCAGAGCTCGACCATCTTTGTTGTTGTTGCAACGGTCCCGCCACCCATCAGCACCCCCTCCATCCCTTATCTCCTGCATGGCTCCCCCTCCCTATTCACCCTCCTCAACAACGCGGCCATGCCGCAGGCGACGCTGGGAGACATGGGCGGGCTGGAGCGATATGTCGCTGCGGACGGCGACTCCAAGAAATTCGACATGGTAGATGGTGGCGAATACGACGGGGACAAGGCTTGTGAGTTTTGATTTTTTTTTCCAGGGTTTCCGCTGATGGGACAAGGGGTGTCGATCCCATCACCTACACCTCCTTTTGTTTTTTTCTGGAAATGGTAGCATTTTGGCGTCTGTACCCTCGCCACCCGCTCCAGCTTCCTCCCGTGTCTTGCACGTGGCAATTGCTCTTCGTCTCGCCTTCAAGAGATTCGGGTGTCTACACCTTGAACGCTAGAGCTTTGGAAACTGAACTCCCTTCTCGTTTCTTCCCCGCCATGTCCAGGACGGTGGCCGTTAGATGGGTGGGACTGCCCAAGCCCCCCTCCCCCGGCCTCAACGCTGTGTATTCTTTCGAAACCGATGTATAGTTGCGATTGAGGTTGAGCCTGGATTCGCATCTACCGCATTTTTGGTGGATGGCAAGCTGCTCTCATCTAGTCGAAACAAACCCCGTCCTATAGTTTTTTTATCTTGCATGTTTGAAATGTGTGTGCGTTGCACGCCAAACGGGGTATCGCCCTTAGTCTCAGAGCCTCCCTGTGCTTTATTATAGCAGGGCCTCCAACAGCAGCGTACGCCCGACGATCGTCGCCGGTGCATTTGCATACGAGGTCTCTCATCGAAGCCTCGCTGTTGACTACCCTACGGGCCTACGCTGCTTTTTGGTTTTTGGCCTTTTTGCCTGCGGTGTTGCTGTTTGTGGTCTTGACCCACACGAAGACGGTGGCTTACCGGAGTAGTGGAATAGATACATAATAGGGATGCTTTTTTTTAGCTGCCTTGGGCAAAGTAGGAAGGAACGATTGGCCAAGGGTGATCGGTCCGATGGGAACAACGTTCCGTCCTCTCGAGGACGCGTGGTCAATGGTCTAAGGAGTGCAAAACACGAGCCCCATCCCTCAATTGCCAGACAAGGGCTCGAAGCTGTGCAATGTCTTGTCCACGCATGGCGATTGCTCCAACAGCTCAGGCATGCAAAACATGAGACCCCCCCCCCCCGCACCCCCTCTGCCAATTGCCAGACAAGGACACGAAGCTCTGAAGTATCTTGTTCACGCTTGGTCAAATGGTCTAAGGCATGGAAAACATGAACACCCCCCCCCCTCCCGCCATTTGCCAGACAAGGACTCGAAGCTCTGCAACGTCCTGTTCACGCTGGAGGCGCAGCGGCGACTGTCTGCGAGACGGTCCGCCGTTAAGGTGGACTGCTTCTCTCCGGGGCTGATCCCCAGCAGCGGCTTGTTCCGGAACCAGAACCCGATCTTCTCCAAGATCTTCGACTTCGCGGCCACCAACCTCATCAAGGCGAGCACCCACGCGCGTTCGTAATAATATTGTTGAGTTGCTGGTGTTGGTTGAGGGAGGGTGTAAGGTATGTGTGTGTTTGGTCGTGTGCCGCACGAGGGAGACTTGGTGCGCGTTTCGTCGCAAAGCTTCCCGCTGGTGTTGTCGTGTACGAATTTTTTACACCCTACGCGCTTGGTACACCACTTGTAGCCTCCAGCAGCTGCGAAAGCCAAGTTCCCGACATTTGTGCCCAAGGTTATCGACCAGCGTCGTTTTTTTTCTTTCGTTGGACCTATTTACTAAGAGCGACCAGAGAGGTGTGCTCAGATTTGTGAACATGTGTTTCGTCGCAACTCAAGCATTTTGCCGTCAACAGCAGCAACGGCGGACTATTTCTCGATCCAGGCAAGGGCGCCAAGATCATGGTGAATTACCCATTGTTCGAGCCTTTTCAGCAGAAATTGACTACCCCGGAGAGTTGTTGATGTTGCGGGTAGAATGCGTAAATGTGTGCGGACTATCTGTCATGGCGCATCGTCCCCGTTGATGCACACGATATCAGCCCCAAGCTGGACGATTTGAAAGATCAATTCTCCTCAACCACAACTGCTTGTGCCGGTGCCGTCAAGAGTGTCGAGTTGATAATCTCGCTATCAAGTTCTCAGGGTGGAATACACACTTTTCAGTTCCACCACCCGCGCCTTGCATCACTCTCGACCTTGGGGAAACGCACCAAGTTGAGCGAGGAAGGGTGGCATCTCAAGGGAGCCGCAGCAGATTCGCTCCATGATTCCACCCAGTTTGTTTGTCTGCCGTGATGTGTGGTAGTAGTGGCTTTCGACAGTTTTTTCTGTCAACCCCGCTGCCTCAATTTGAAAACATCTCTCGAAAGAAGGGAAAAACGCCGCCAAATCCACAGGACTTCAAACGGCGGTGCACCGTCGAACGGTGGAATACCTGCGGAATCGCGTGCAACTTTATTTTGTCATGTTGTCGCCAACACCGCGGCTACTATATGACGTATTATAGCGCCGGCATGCGTGGGTCTAGAGCATCCTGGTGTTCATGCCCCGCGTGCATCGAACGTCTCTCGAGGCTCCGAGTATGCCGATATCCCACCACAACCCCCTCCCTAACCGCGAAGACACGCAAACCATGAGTACGCCCCCCCCCCCCTCTGCGCGCGCCAACACCCTTCCTCTCCATCAGGTGGCAGCCACCGTGGGACAAGGGGGGGACACCTTGGTGGAGATGGTGACGGAGCTCTCCCTGCAGGACGGGGCGGCGGGCGGTAGGTTTTTCGCGACGGAGCCGGGGAAACCCGAGTCGGCGTTCTCGGAGCAGGCCGTTTCGGTAGAGGCGCGGGACGTGGCCAAGGGCAAGAGGTTGTGGGAACTCAGCGCTGGGTGTGTCGGCCTGGACCCCAAGACTCCCATTTAGACCCTCCATGGATGGTCATTAGGCGGCCTTGGGTTATACGAAAGTACGCGCCATCCCTTAGAGAACCTGGGAGTTCCTTGAAAAAAATCCAGGTAGAGAAAAAAAAGTTGACCTTTACGAAGAATTGCTCAGTTGAGAATCCTGCACCACACCAACATAGTCGGTGTTGGGATACGACACAGAGGAAAATAGCCGCGATCCCGGCGCAAAAATAAGAGGTTCTTGATCGCTGACGACGCATCTTGTGCTCGAGACGTTTCGGGCGTGGATGGCCGGCACGCGTGTCGGTGTGAGGTTTGAGGACGCCCCCGAGGCTGTCTTTCATTTATGTCTGTAGCATGGAAGCCGTTTTGACAGTCCGCCGTGACCGAAGGAGGTCGAAAATCCTTGGTAGTCTTAGCGATATATTGGTGGACCAAGCGTTCACAATCCATACCAACCGCCCGATGCTCAATGCTCACCAACCAACCGACGCGCCTTGACTTTATCCTGGGGCCATTCTGCACAGAGAGTGCTAAAAACAACGCACCCCGTCGCTGTGCCTGGATCGACCCCAACCTTCCACCGCAGAAGTAGTGATACTGATTATCCTACCGCGCCCGTCACAGCGAAGCCACAAAGTGTGTGGCAGCGCGTCGAAACTGGCCTTGCACCACAAGGTAACGGAGGACAACTACCTCTTCAAGCGTTAAAACACTCCAAGCCGGGCCAAAAGAAGCCTTGCGCACTAGTGTAGTACGCCCAAACTTATCTTCACGTTTTGCACATCGCCCTGTTCTCAACCTCCTCAAAGTAGTAGTGGCCACACAACGTAATGTAAAACGCACACAAGATTCCCGGTTCACTATTTAGTAGTGCGTGAAGGAACAAGTGGAAGCGTCTTACGCCAGGCCGGTCGACACATAACCCCGGCGGCTGCTGTCATTATCCTGGTTTCGAGATATCCCTCGACTCCTCCTGGCAGGGTGTCACAACTGGCAGGAATACCTGGTGTAAAAAACGCGGCCAAGTAAACACAGCGCAGCAGTGCCCGAAAAACCAATTAAACCATGCACGGAAGAAACGACTTCAGAAGAGATCGCGAAGCTTTAAGTGTTCGTCGAGATATTTGTAGGTAGCAAACCGCGACGAGCCAATGCAGCTTTTGGTGTAGGGATATCCTTGTCAATTAAGATTGGATTTGAACCGAGGTTTGGGGCGCGCACCGCCGATTGTCCCTGTCAACCAAGGTTAGATCTGAACCGATTTTTGCGTGCGCACACTCGACGGCAACAAAATGCAAACCAAGCCAAGGGCCCAGCCTCGTAAGCAAAAAACAAAATTAATTTAGCACGGGGCGATCAGAACCTGGCAGTCCGGCAGGCCACTCGGCCAGTTCAAAATAAGTTGGATGAAGGTTGACCACAACAAAGATATTCAGGTACTTGTGTCTTTTTTCCATGGACGAACTTGGACATTTTACGACGTTGTGGCACCCAGAACGAAGCAACACCCACGATAAACCGTAGACGAAGTACAATAGGTTGAACCAGGCCTGGCCTAGGAACACCAATCGCGGGAAACACCGCGCACCTCCACAATGAAGACGATAGCGGAGCCCAATCGCCGTCCCTGCGGCAGCGCTTGTCCAAGTGCTGCCGTCGGCTGTCGCTGCGGCTGCCCCGCACGAGAACGTCCAGTCCCTTCGAGAAAGTCGTGGCGGCAGGCGTCGACGCGTGGCGCACGGAAGCGGAACAAGAGCTACCCCCCCCACGGACTGGCCACCGCCACGAGGAGCCTCGGAGAGCCGGCGCCCTGGCCAGCAGCCGGCCGCAGGCCTCCAGGTCGGCCTTCGTCGGGGGCGGCAGGTGGGCCGGTCGGAGAGGCCTCACGGGCATCCTCACGCAAGCGTCGGCGTCCAGGCCGGCGCGGGTCCGGGCGAGGGGGTCGGCCCCGCCCGCGAGCAGCAGCCCGGCCGTGGCCGCGTCGCACATGCGGGCCGAAATGTGGAGGACCGTCTCGCCGTCCACCTATCGAGCGTTGACGTTCGCGCCGGCCTCGATGAGGACCTTGGCGATCGCCGGCAAGACCTTCAGGGCCGCGAGCATCAGCGGGGTCGGGGGCGGCGGGAGGGCCGGGAGGGCCCCGCCGTCCACCTCCGCGCCCATCCCGAGCAGCGCCAGCACCGTGTCCCGGGCGCGCGCCCCGTCCCGAACGGCGCAGTGCAGGGGCTGGTGGCCCCGCGCGTCGCTCAGCTGGAGCAGGAGCTTGCGCGCGAGGAGGCCATCGTCGCACGCCGCCGCGGCTGCTCCCTCCACGAGCAGCTCGAGGATGTCCACGCAACCGGAGAAGCTGGCGTAGTGGATGGGGGCAAGCAGCTTGCCCAGCGTGGGCTGCAGCTGGTTCGCGCCGGCGCGCAGCAAGTCGAAGACGATTTCCGTCATCCCCTGCGAGGCGGCCATGTGGAGGGGTGCGATGCCCTCGGCGTGGCTGGACAATTCCGGGTCCGCCTTGGCCTCCAGCAGAGCCTTGACGATGTCTCGCTCCCTCACCTCCACGGCAATCAGGAGAGGGCTGTAGCCGTCTTTGGGCCTGACCGTGTTAGGGTCGGCCCCCGCCTCGATCAGCATTGCCACGATCCGGGACTGCCCCGTCCCGCAGCCGGCGTGGAGGGCGGTGGAGCCACGGGAGAGCTCCTCCAAGTCTAACGCGGCCGGTGCGCCTGCCGCAGCCGCCGCGCTCCCGTCGCGCTGCCCATGTGGCTTCGGCTTCAGGAGCTCCGCCACGAGATCGGCGTCTCCCCGGCAGACGGCGGTGTACAGGGCGGAGTTTCCCTCCCGCGGCCGCTTGGAGTGCCCCCCCTGCCGCATGGTCTTATCCGATGTCCCCTGGTTGCGCGATGACTAAGCCAAATCGAGAAGCGCGGAGAGAGGAGAGGGTGCGGGTAAACAAAATGCGAAATGCGCTCAGAGCAGTTTAAAGTGCATTTTCCATCTTTTTGCCCGTGCTGATGCTCGCTTACTCTCGGTGTGAGCTTGTTTTTCGTCAAACATGCTGTGGGCTGGCGAAGGCCGTCGCGTCTGTCCGAAACATTCCGCAAACTCTCCGGGTCCGAACCTGTCATGTTCCACTGCTGTGACGGCCCATACCTCCTGGACTGCGGGCAAAGAAGACGTTTTTGTGTGTGATTGCCGGGGCGCTATTTCGGCCGTTAAGAAAATCACCCAAGAGTTAATTAAGTTCTTTGGGCTCGAACGACTGCCTTTCCCGCGCCGAAGATGCGGAGTGAACAACACGCAGTCGCCTCCTCTGTCTCTTCCCAAGGGCAGGCATCATGGGTATAGCTGCTTTGGGCGAGTGTAGCGTTAGCCGCTACCAAACACGTACGCGTGCTGTCCCATAGCACGGCCGATACATGTCCCGGGAGGGACATGGGACTTCTTAAGCTTTAGGAATATGCTCGTCGAGCTTCCCGGTTGCCTCGCCCTTGCGCCAATCGTGCAGCCCGATCGGGGGCGCGAAAAGATATCTGCAATCTGAAGGGAGCGTACTGCTGTTGTGCGTTGTCGCTGACTCCTTACTGATTTTATTGGCGAAAACACACGTGAACGATCGAAACTCACTTGCCCTTGTTGGCGGTGGCTCGACGCGTATGGAGTATGGAATCAGCCGAGGAATCGCCACTGCACAGGACAGGACAGGACAGGACCTGTTGACTGCTGCGCACTGCCTGTTGACTGCGCAGGAACATGATGGATGGACGGCGGCACCGCAGAATCATTTCGCCAATCTCGCCGCTTTGATCGGGGGGGCCGTGCTGGTGTATGTTGCATAGCACCGACACAGACCGGTAGAGCTCGGCGTCGCGGTGGTTGAGGGAGTTGGCACTTGGCACATACCCTTCGGAGGCCTCAAGGATACAACCGAGGTTCTGCTACATTCAGAGGCGGCGCTTGGCGTGTTGCAAGCAAGACGGTGAGTGGATGTCCGTGCCTTCTTATTCGAGGAAGGGAGGGCGCAACATGTCGGCGCCTGGACGCAAATTAGTGCTTCATGCAGAGTCGAGTGCATAACGGGAGCCGTAACACTTGACTGCGTAGGGGGCTTGCCGCTGCAAGGTACTACTGTGGCGGTCTCGGGTTTGGTTGTGTGATGTTGGTCGACGTGACTCGGAAGCGATACGTAAGCCTGGACTTTTCAATGAGAGATACTTCCTCGGTAAGCGGTTTCACGTTCCGGAGACCTGGGCAGCTGCACGGGAAGGTTTCCTAGCTCACCGTCACGCATGTTACTTACACACCCACTACCCGTAGGAAGCTGAACTACGAACTCCAGTTTCCATGAACATGCTCGACGCCCTGCGTTCTCCTCTTGTCTCGCATTCTTATTGCAGAAGCACATCCTTTAATCATTCATGTATTCGCGACGGTCAAAGAATCATGTGTACATACTTGCCATTCGACGTCGACATTCCGCACAAACGTATGTGTGCGCAAGACCGATGCAGGAACAGCGATGTGTGCTACATGTTCATGTTTGATACCTACAACCCAGATGCAATTGCATGTTTGGAATGCACACTCAAATGTGGCCTTCTTCCCGTCACCTCTGGTGGTGCGTCCAAAGACATGCCGAAAATGTGTAGAACTCGACCCACGCAAACTATGTGTACATAGGTCTTGTCGAATTCGTCCATGAACTCGTGGCTTGAATCGTTGTCACTACCGCTGCAGCGCACTTCGTGTTCTTCCCGTCTATTCTGGCGCCGTTCTACACACCTTTTGGCGTTTTCTGTTTGACGTATCAGCCGGGGGCACACAAGAGTTCGCACTTGTTTTTCTTCGTCTTGCGTACAACGCCCTCTTGGTAACACATGCATGTCGTTCGGCAAAAGCGTTCCGTGCGATACCGATGGCCCGTAATGTAATAGTGTCACTCACTCGTCCATTGACCCGCCTGCTCAGGTGTCTTGAGCTGCGCGATCACGGGCTGACAGCGGGCCTCTATATTCGGAAAGAACGTCATCTGTCGTGCGCGGAGAATGCACACTGGCAGGAACGAAGATAACGAGAGCCAGGGCGAGTAAAGCGGGTGGAGTGGGGAACAGCGCGCGGAGGAAGATAGGGAAAGGGTTGTTGTCCAAAGATTCCACATGTTTGCCGTGCAATCGGTGCCCAGCAGCGGCCCGCCCCGGCCGCTGATAGCCAATTTTTGGGATGCGTGCCCTTTTCTGGGCGCGCGGGGTGGTGCCGAGGGAATCCGCGGTGGCATCGGGGACGGACGTCACGGCAGCAGCATCGGTGGCAGCACGCGGCTCCTGCGGTGCTTCTTGTCGTTACCGTCGTCGTCGTTGTCCCCACCGTCCGCCGCAGTCGACGATAGTCGAAACAGCCGTCGGCGTCGAAGCCGAAGTGCGAAGGAACGACACCCTGTCCACGGCGCCGTAGCGTGCCAGCAGGTGAGCAGTAGCGGTCCTACGACGGCGTCCGCCGCAGCCCCCGCGCCGGAGACTCCTCCGGGGTGGATAGGGCGGCTCGGACTGGATGAAGAAGAGGAGGAGGATCTGGTTGCCGCGTTTGCGGCTCTCCCGGAGCCACCGCCACCCGCGGCTGCTGACGCAAAGCTGGTGCAGGCGACCAGGGAGTTAGTTGTGTCGATGAAGGGGCCGAAGACGGAACACGTGATACGGGGAAAGCCGAAGAGACGCGGAAGACCGAGAAAGAACCCTTCGTTAGTTGAGGTCAAGGAGTCTTCGGAATCGCAACAGAGGAGGGATGAGAAGGAGGTGACGCGGATAGAAGCGGAGAATCTGGCTAATGCGAGCAAAGCAGCGAAGGCGAAAGAGCTCTTGAACGTTCCTGTGGAAGCGACCGGAAAGTCGACGACGGAGGAAAGGGGCCGGTGGATCCAGGAGCGGCTGCTCCTCAATGACGCGACATTGGCGAAGATGATGGAGTTCTATCCACAGGTGCTTCGTTATTCATACGCAATAGACATGATAATAACCGTTTGATGTTGGGTTTGCGGGGCATTGGCACAGCCTGTTTTGAGCTTTTTTTTTGGTGAAGGCTCTTTGCAGCGAATTTTCTGGTCCTTCTGTCGTCCTGATGGTGCTTCTTTGACGTGCGAGATTTGTTTTTAGCTCACTCTTTTCGTTTGTCGCCATTTTCGGTGCGTTCCGTCGCTGTTCCGCAGCTCGACCTTCAAGCATGTGTTTTGTATTCTTTTAATGTACTCAGGACCGTATATTCCAGAGGCATCACTCATTCCTGACAACCCGGCCCACCTGCCGCCCCCCCCTCCCTCCCAATCGGAAAACGGATTCTTAATCAAAGTGTTTAAGTTACCGGATTGTGGAAAACCTCGAGCCGAAGCTGGAATGGTTGCAGAAGGAGTTGGGTCTGGATGACCAGGCCCTGGGCAAGATGATATCGACAGCTCCGGTGATCCTCGGGCTAAGCGTCGAGGCGAACCTCAAGCCCAAGCTGAAATGGATGAAGGACACCCTTGGCCTGGACAAGAAGGCCTCGACGAGACTCGTGATGGCTGTGCCCTCTGTTCTGGTACTCCTGCAGGACACCCTGGACAAGAAACTCGCGTTCTTGCGCGGCGAGGAACTCAACCTGTCCGATGTGAGTGCCTTTACGGCGGTATGGGGAAGAGACGGATCCAGGGAAATAGTATATGCCTGCAGAAACACTCGCCCCCGGTACATCGATCTTGTTTCTGTTCAGCGTATTCTCACTTGTTGCCGCTCGTCTGAGACAAACCGGTGTAGCGCTGCCGAACGGCAATATTTGGAAGGGTTTTGTCAAAGAAGACTTGGCGTTTTTTACGTCTAACCAGGTATGTCGTTTTGCCATGAACCAGGTTGAGGTGAAGCGCATCGTTAGGAACTCGCCGTCGTTCTTCACCTTCAGCGTGGAGGAAAATATGAGGCCAAAGCTGGCCTGGCTCCGAGAGCGGATGGGGTTGGACGCGATCGGGATCCGGAAGTTGGTTGGTCGGAGCCCTCGCGTCTTGGCGCTCAAGGTTTGCCCTTTAGTTGTTGCTCCTGGTGTTCGTGATGCATTGACCCATGCTCCGCTAGCAAACGCCGTGTCCTACGACTGGCCCGTGTCTGAACTACTTCTATTGATGTATATGCACAAGAACAACTGCACGACCGACGGCCCAAGATACCACACTCCGGGAAACATGTTTTGGGTGTTTGAGAAATATGTCACCGGTTGTTTATTCTCTGTGTGTGTGGGATGTTATCTTGCGTAGCCCGGTGATACAGCGCAGGTCGCGGGAGGTATGAAGGGTGTGTGATACCACTACAGAACACTTGCACCCAAGGGGTGTGGCCATTCAAGGTGCGTGTTCGCACTGCCTGCAAATATTTTTGCACCATGCCTGCTGCCATACGTGCAGGGCACGTGGTGAGGGTGTGTGATAACACTGCCTGCAAAGAACTCCCGTACTGCTGCCGCACTTGCAGGGTGTGCGGTACTGAGCAGGGGTGGTACCACCGATACCCACCTGCCTATTGTTAAATTCCTGCCGGGCGTACTTCCAGTCCGTGTGGAAATGAGAGGGGGAGGCGGTGATAACAGGGGACGTGAGGGGGTGACAACAGGGGACGTGATAAACGCCCTGATCACATGACCCCGGCGATGAATGCCTACAGCGCCCTCATCCCGACAACAGCGAACGATTTGCCATGTGATAGTTGATTTGTTTGCATTGAAGAAACTTCGATCAACCAGCCGTGAGGCGCGTGGTCGCAGAGTACAACGAGCTTCCATCGATTGCCCCCCCTCGCCCCACTAACACAGAAAGACATGCTGCTGCATCTACGACCATGCAGCTTTTTGCAACAAAACCGGGGTCACAGTAGCAGTGCTATGTGATTTCATTCGTCCCAACCTCGGGGGGGGGTGCCATCTTACGTAAAACTCGGGGGTATTTTGGCTCCTTGTTTGAAATCCAACATATTTGGCACTGGGTGTTGTACTTTGGGCGAGGTGTTCTTTGTGATGTAGGTGTTACATCTCGTGTCGTATATACGTCCGGTGTTTCTACGTGAGATACAACAGTAGGACATCGGAGCCCAACGCGATAGGTGTTTCTTCATCAACGAACGTGTATCGTCCGGGATCGTTCGTTGAAGGATGGACAGCTTAACATGGCTTCATGCATGCCTGGGGGTGAGGGAGAAAATGGCACGTGGAGTCGTGTTGACCTTTCCCTTCATGTGCGCTTCGTGATCCAATTGAACAATATATTTTTGGTTTTCGGAAAATGCATCAAGTATTTTCCTAACTGACCAACGCTTGCCCGATGTACAACGCGCGTGGTTGAACATCTGCAGGTGGAGACCATTGAACGGAAGCTTATGTGGCTAGAGGGCCGACTAGGCACGGACAGGGAAAGGGTAAAAAGAGTGGTGATGACCTTCCCTCCAATCCTGAGCATGGCCCTGGACACCATGGACTGGAAGATTGTGTGGCTGCAGAAGCGCCTCAGCCTGACCCAAGAACAGCTTATTACGGTGATTGTGAAGTACCCAAACCTCCTGGCGTACAGCGTCGAGGACAACATAGAGCCAACCCTCACGTGGTTGGAAGAGGATTTAGGCCTGGACGCGGCCGTCGCGGGGATGTTGGTGGTGCGACAACCGCGGCTCCTCAGCGCAAACCTCGAGCACAACTTGAAGAACAAGGTGGGTTTTTTGTTGGTGTTAGGTGCTGTGTCACCGGAGATGTCTTGCGTTATGAGAGTTGTTTGGCCCCTGTTGCAAACATACCAAGCACGCAAACCCGATTTCGACGCCTGGTTCGTGGTCGTTCAGATTATGCTAGATGACGCCATGGTCCGACATTGTCATGAGCGTACACGTCTCGTAACCATGGACACTTCACCAGTGTAAAATCCCTCTTTTCATGGAGCAGCCCTTGACAGGGTCTTTTGAAGCCAGCGAATGGACAGCAGTGTTTTCCGCGATCTCGAAGCCTCTGCTAAGACTGCCGAGCCGCATGAAAATGGCGCTGATACATCTGTTATGTTATCGAGCAAGCACTCAGAAAGACTTGCTGCTATTATATCTTCTGCGAAACAGGTGCCGTGGATGGTAGAAACCCTGAACCTACCCAGAGACGTCATCCTGAGAGTCATCACCAGCTACCCGGATCTCCTGAACCTGAGCACCGAGAAAAATCTGGGGCCCACGATACAATTTTTTTACGACGAGATGGGTGCCTCAAAGGAAGAGGTCTCGGAGGTGGTGGCCAGAGGTGGGAAGGCCCTCCTGTACAGCCTGGAGAAGCGCTGGAAGCCGCGCGTCGCGAGAATCAGAGCCAAGGGGGTTACACCGTGTTTCCATGACCACTGGAAGCCTATCGCGAACCGGAGTCCCGCCAAGTTTGATGAGTGGCTGACCACGCTACAGTAGAGCCTGGGGAAATGGATGGCTGGTGTGGCAAAGACACCAACCTTTTGTAAGCATCTCACAAGTTTGCGGTATGCCTATCTTTGTGCACAGCAGTGCCGAATCCGTGCGCATCCATTCCAACGTAACGCGAACGTGGTGCACGCGTGCTCTTCTTCAGTCGGGAGAGGAACTGCGCCGGGAAGGAATTGTTTCCGTCACAATATTTGTGTTCCCTGGAACCAAGAATGGGGGTATTTTCGGTGGAGGCAGGAGTAGGTGGCTCGGGCCATCTGTTCTCCTCGTCCGTGTTGGGTGTCGTTCGGCGATCGATGTAGTGTACAGTTTGGTTAACCTAGAGTTTGTTTAATGTAATGGTTGCGAGAGAGAGAGAGAGAGAGAGAGAGAGAGAGAGAGAGAGAGAGAGAGAGAGGTGGTGGTGCGCTCGCTCCTTGGGTGTCCTCTTTTTCACTTGATGAAATTTGTGATTTTGAGGAAAAGCGTTTTGGGGTTCTCTACAGCAGTACGTGGCGGGAGGGGCGGGCAGCGTTTCGAGCAAGACTCGTTTTCTATCTAGCGTGATTAGAAACGCACAGCGATGGGAGAATTTTGGAAAGCGTATAATACAAGCACATATAGAAAGACACGGCCGAGACTGCCCTTAATTAGATATAGACTACGTTCGTTGCACTGAAGGTTGGTTACCCTCGTCATTGTCCGTAAGGATTCGTTGGACATGATCAACGGATGGTGCCCTCGAACCCCGACCTTGTAGTTGTCTTTTTTGATTCTCTTCTTATGTGATTCCTCCTCCTCCGCGGTTCTCAGTTTTGAACAACAACAGACGTGTCCATCCCAAAACATCGCGTGTGATCACACGTACGTACGTATACGTTTGCTCAGAAATATTGAGCTGAATCACTGGAGAAATGTGCGTCATGTGTGCTACAAAGTAGCGCTGATCCTCGTTTCGATCTAGATTGAACGTGAGCCCTTGTCTCTTTTGTTTCACTGCGTACCATCTGATTCTCTCTTTCCTTATACACCATTTTGTAACGACACAAAGGTGTCAACGCTAATATTGGACATGGAATGACGAGACAAAAAAAAACACGAAGTTACACAAAAAGGTAAGAAAATGGTGAGACCACGCCCGTGTGTCCGCACACACTCTGAAATGTATCCACACATACGTATATACATACCCAAATACCCGGTACATACGCATACCACATTGAAAATACGTTTGAAAACTGAGGGAGATTGCATGCCCTACGGCTAAAAGGGTGCCACACACAAAACGCCCGACCAGTACCTAACACATACCATCTGCACCTTCCCAACATAACATATATGAGACACACAAGACAGCTACCAAACTGTCTTGTTGAGCCTGTTACCCGCAGGGGAGATGTCCCTATATGCTGTCTGGGAAATCGTAGACATACAGGTACTTTCTGACGCTATGAATCCATTGCTAATTTGTCTCAGACTCTTTTCTATGATAAAGATGGTTTCGTTGTGTCATATTAAGAAAAAAAAAAACGGGGCTTGTCATGATCCTTGGAAGTACAAGCTCCAAAATCCGTACAATATCTCTATGCGAAATAAAATCTGATTCGTGATAACAACCCAGGACCTGCCTGTGTTTCTAGACCCTCGCGTGACATACAGCGCCAGTGACGTTGTAGCTCCCCTCAACTCCCCTGCGTGTGGGGGGTACAAAGGACTGATACCCCCGCTCCATTGTAGCCAAATTACTCCTGGAACGCCTTAGTTACGCCGCACAAATACAGCGGCGGCGCTGCGGTGTTGCAGGCAGGATGCTGATTGTCATCAGGTCAGCTGCCTGCGAATCGGTGTGTCAGGTAAGGATTCGAGGTTTTCATTAGGCAGCGTGCTCGCAACGCCAACAGAAACCAACCACGCATTTGAGTGAGTGCATCGTGCAATGAACACAGCAACAGTTTTGTGCTTGCAGGCCACTACTCTATAGTTGCTGGAGCTATGCCTACCACACCAGTGTAGGGCGTGCTCACGTGCGTGCTCACGGCATCGCCACCAAGACCGGCTCCATGAACAATCCCGACTAACCCTTAGTACGTGTGTTCCATCGAAACAAACTACATCATGCCCAAAGGCGGCTGTCTTGGTGTTGGTACCTGTGGTCAGAGCATCCATGTGGCTGTGTCGGGGTTGACAGATTCCTCCTTGGGTAGGCAATTGGTTTGAGAGCCGGCCGTGGTCTGGTACGCGGTAAGGTCCATGAGAAGGCCACGCCGGATGCTGTGCTTGTTTTTGAATTTGCCTTCGCCAAGCTGCATGAATTGGCTCTGCCCTCTCTCTCTCTCTCTCTCTCTCTCTTTCTCTCTCTCGATCAAAGCGAAGCGAAGTATTGCTGTTGGTACGCATAGGATCACGGTGGTGTACAGCAGTGGTGGCGCGCTTGGAGAATAAGTGGATAGGGCACAGGTTACAAGTTAGGGGCCAGATGATATCGCGTCCGCTCATTGGGAGAGGCTGTACAGTCCCGAGGGCCGAAGGCTGACTTGGCTTGTATGGAAAGTGTCCCCAAATGCACTGGGGACGCGCTTTCTATACTGAAGCCAAGTCATCAAATTTCCAGTGCTAGCCTGTTTTTTGTATCTATCTGCTGTGTACACTTTCACCAACAAGGGGACTCTCGGCGAGGGAGATTGTGTATGCGTATGTAGGACAAGTCAGAGACCCAGGAGGGGCACACAGGCATCACACAGCAGTATATCACACAGCGCACCACATCACACAAGCTTGCTAGACCAAGGTTTCCCACGCACGTTTCACGCATAGTGACGACCACGGTGCGGTAAACAGGCATTTAGGTGCTGTGTCCCCGAAGTGTCCCCATTTGGGCTTCCAGTTCTAGGAAGGGTAAGGGCCCCTTCTGGGCGGCGGGGCCCGAATCGCAAGGCGAAAGAGGCGGGTAGGCATTGTACAAAGAGACAATCCAACAGTTTGATGGAGGATCGTATCGACCGTTTGTAAGGTGGAAATACAGTGTGCATGACCGAGACGGAAAACGGCAGTGTGTGCAGTCCGAGAAGCGTGACGTCTGGGTTTTCGCCGTTAACCAAAGAAGGTGCTAATGTAACACGCCCTATTCCACAAGACAACGCCTGTGTGGACAGGGAGGATTTCCGGGACACTTGCACATTCTACCCTTACATCAGGCAGAAGAGCTTGCAACGCCGCAATGTACGCGTTCGGAACCGCACGTGGTGCATACTGAATGTAGTATCAAGAGAGAAAGGCGCTACAAAAAGAGGCGAAAACGAAAATAGCAAAATGAACGAGCGGGCTGGAGGAATGCAGAACCACTACAAAATTTTGTGGCAGAAACGGTGGTGCATGAGTGGTGCTTCAGACATGGATGTATCGAAATCAAGGTGTATAATGTGCAGTCCGCCAGCTATGGGTACGCATGTGTGCTGACAACCTCTCCTCTGGCAATTTTTTATACCTTGCGGATCTCCCACCCGCATGCATTCGACGACCATTTTCAACACGTCTGGCCAATTTCCTGTTGCTGACGACCTCTCTTCTGGCCTTTGTTTCCGCGTTCCTTCGCCGACACACATTGGTGATGGTGGAACCGGTGCCGAAACTGTAGGCCAGCGATCGGAAGGGCGAACTTATTTTTGTACCCCACGGTACAGATCAGTACGGGCGCACGGGCAAGCGGTGAACCAGCGGCAGCCGTGGCTCTGCGTTTTTTAGCCTTTGAAACGAGCAGGTTGACAGATACAGACGGCAGCGATCGGCTTTTCCACCTAACGTCACATCGACGGGCATGTTTTTGACCGGAAATAGCGCGCGGAGTTTGATGGTGGGGGTGGGGCGAGCGCCCGGGTTTGCCAGCTCGCTAGTCCGATGCGGTGGTGCGCACAACGCTTGGCTCACACCGAAAGAAGCTAACTTACGGTCATTGGCCACCGTCGCGGAGAGGCGAAGGGGTGGCAGCCGTGGACGGGGTGATGGACATGCCGGGAGAGGCTCCGTCGCGCAGGCGAAACGCGCGGGGCGCCCACAGCATAGGAACGCCGATGCTCCTCGGTTCCAGCCTTTCGGGCGCGCGGGTGGAGAGGGGTCCAAGGTCGCCGAGAGACTCTACGAAGATTTTGGCATAAACAACCTGAAGAAGTACTCCCCGGAGGCGACGGACGAGCGGAAGAGAGTCCTTACATGGCTCGAAGGGAAAGTCAGGATGAGCTCCCGGGCTATCGCGGATATGGTGGAGCAAGAGCCGCGCATTGCGGAGCAAGAGACCGGCGCGATATCCGCCAGGCTGGCGTGGCTGAAAGAGAGACTGCGGCTCAGCGACGAGCAGATCAGGAGTCTGGTGCACAGGAGGCCTTCCGTACTGTGCCGGAGCGTTGACGATAGCATGGAACCCAAGGTGCAGCAGCGATTGATACGCATTCGGTGCTGCGGCCGTCACACAGGGTTCTGCGCGTAACGCGGGCTGGCCTCTCTCTCACCCGTCCTACTCGTATTGTTGTTGCCAGTTTTGCATTTTTCAGCCGACGTTGATCAACACCTGCAATCATTATCATGTTGTGTCCACTCCGTTGCGTTCACTTTTGGTTGTTTCCCCAAGGTTCAATGGCTCCAAGAGAAACTAGGCCTGAGTGCGGACGAGGTGGCGACAATGGTTTCCTCCGCACCAAACGTCCTAACCATCAGCATCGAAGGCAGCATGGCACCCAAGCTAGACTGGCTCTCCCGGCGGCTGATGCTCTCCAACGAAGAGCTGGCTGCGGTAGTGACCACGTGTCCTCAAGTGAGCAGCGCGATGAGCTCGAGAATACGCAAAGACTGTTCTCAATGGGATGTTTTTTGTTCACAGCGTATATGGTCCGGTCACACTTGGGCTTGGTTGCTTGGCTGCGTGGTTTCATTGGATGATGGAGCATGCGGGGGAATACATTACGATGTATGAAGAATTGCAACCGCGCGTTCAGCGGACTTGAGATATGCGTTTCCCAATTTGCGCCATGCACCCCCCGTTTTCAACTAACGGAGCATCCACTGATCGTCTACGGCGGATCTCCTGTCCTTCATTCTCTTATGAGGCGAGCTGTTGCTCCCGTTTGCTCCTACGGCCTCTACCGCAGGTGTTGACCAGTAGCATCGAGGGCGCGCTCGAGCCAAGGCTAAGGTGGCTCCACACAAACCTGCAGATCGGCGGGTCTGTCCTTCGGGAGAGGGTGCTAAGCTATCCCTGGCTGCTGAACCTCAGTGAGAAGGACAAATTGGTGCCGACGTTCGACTTCCTGAAGACGGAACTCCTCCTCGACGAGGCCGAAATCAGGAAGACCCTCTTTCGAAACCCGCGCATGTTCCTGACTCCGATGAGGCAAACGTTCGACTCAACGAAGAAGTGGCTTTGTACAAGCGTAGGGCTGGGGGAGGAGGAGGCGGTGAAGGTGCTGACAAAGGATGCGCGACTGCTGCTGCGTAGCACGGAAGTTCTGGACGCCAAGGTTTGATCACTACCTGCCCCATGAATGTTTGTGAACGCTATTACGCTTTGAGAAGGTTTCGACTGACGGTTTTTCTATGGACAGATTTCCACGTCACAGGCTCGAGTGATTTAGTATCCACGTATGTATAGAGTGGATTCGCCTTCTTTCCAAAACGTTCTCCTCATCTTTCTTCCGACGATTTCGCACTTGGAGTGGTCACCACGGGGTGGACCTGGCATTGACACGAGAAATCGCCTCGGGGCTGTAGCTCAAGAAGCGGGTGATCGGACACCACAGTGACGTACCCGGCGGGCGTTGTTCTCAAAAGCCGCCTTTTTGATACCGCCAGGTGCGCAGCAGCCCCAACGTAAAACAGTACCCGTGAGCTCACGAAGTCTCATGTGCTTCCGGAGTACTTGAAACGCATTCACCATTGTGATTGTTCTGGTTTTGGCACCGCACACGGTTTAATTCAATCGCTCTGCCTGTCCGAGCCATAAGATGCACCAACGAAACCGTACATCATACTCTTGGACGCCTGCTGTAGAACGTTGGCTTACTACCCCTGTGCGCCGTTCGATGCTTTTCTGTCCTTCCGACCTCGACGTCGTGTGCAGGTGGCCTTTTTTTGCCAAGAGATGGGTGCCACCCTCGAGGACGTTCGGGCCGTGCTAATGACGAGCCCAAACTTCTTGCTCATAAGCATAGACCTCATGCTGGCGCCACGGGTGGCGACATTGAAAGATGCCGGGGTAAAAGTTTCGTTTTCGGCGCATTGGAATGACCTCGCGTTCGGCCCTCGAGGAGAGGCGTTTGATTTCTGGGTGAGAAGGCAAGCTAGCAGGTGACGGAGATAGAACAGAGCGTGGATGTTGTTACGAAACCAGCACCAAATAAATAGTCGTTTTTGCTCTTCCCGTGCATGCGAAAGCTGCCGTGAGACCCTCGAGGAGACCTACCGGAGAAGTCAAGCAGTGTACGAATTGGGCACATCACGTAGATTTGAAACAAGTAAATAAAGCCGTTCACAGGTTGGTTTGTCTGGAGCTAGTTCTACGACAGCGCAGTGCTTCTTCTGGTCGGCGTGGACTCTGAGTATGCAGCAGAACACGGCATTCAGAAGGTCGCGGACGCTCACGGAATGGCTCGTATTCTCTTTGTCGTGATTCACAGAAACGTTTCGAACCCTGCCCAGGGGGGTTTGTGGCCTACGTATCCAATTTTTTCGTTCACGCATACATCAAACCTCTTTTCTACATAAAATAGTGGCACAAACAAAATCAAATTTTGTTCGCAGAGACCCGAGCTCGGAAAAAAACAAACTAAACTCATTCAAGCGGCAATGGAAAGCCCAAAATTCAAAAGAAGAAAAGAAAGACCCCGACAACAAGAACAAAAACATAAAGGAATAATAAAAACACACACAGAAAGACTACCCATTCGAGATATACCCACAGTCGAACATTGTAAATGAGGTTTAAACTAAAGAATCAGACTCACTCGAGGCCATGCATGCATAGTACTGCTCCATGTTGACCCAACGTTGGCCACCCAACACACTCAATGTCAAAGGTGAGGACAATTCAACACGGAAACTAAACGAGACGACAGTAGTCACGTTCGCACCTGCGAAAGAACATCAGACGGCAACACTACTTGTGCAGACGTATCGGCTTATTTTGCTGGGGTGTCGAATAGAACGGACGGTGCTTTAAAACGTCTCGAAAGTAAGATTGACAAAAATGCGATGTAGTTTCAATTTTTTCACGCCCCTACCGCGTGCTGCACACTCCGGTGCAACCAGCAACTAAGTTGTCTCCTGCATGCGTATTCTGAACATGACAAATCCAGACAAACGCTTCATCTATGGTAGGGCAGTCCCAAAATCGGCCAGCATCATCGCATACGTTTCGAGGGCGCGCGCGTTCTGCTCTATGTTGATCTTGCGATTAACTGATGCCTGCAAGAGCGTCAGCCGCCGTCTGCCGGGCATGACCTTAGTCATGGAATATACCATCTCTTCGCTTTCTCTCGGTGAGGTTCCTTGACCGCCTGACTGAGGGGCGGCTACTTCCGAAGTGGGCGAAGTCACCCGCACCAATGGTCCCGCCCCTAGCGGAGGTGAGCCCCCTGAACTGGGTGCGGCAGTCGTGGAAGTCTGTGGAATCGTCGATGTGCCCTGCTGCGTGCCCATCGCTGTCGTTGGGATGACGGGTGAAGAGGTCGTTCTTGGTACGGGCGAGGTTGCCGAGCTGGATGAAACCGTCTGATTGGATGACGACACTTCAGCTTTGTTGCGGTCGGGCAAATAACAGACAATAACCTTCATCTCTCGAGCTCCTCCACTCAGGAACAGCTCAGCCGCGCCGCCTGCAGGGATTACCTCTGATGAAGTGTTCACTGGGAGCATTATCTGTTCGGTCCGTCTCCCGGTCTCAAAACTGATACCCACCTCGCTAAATGTCAGCGAACAAGCTTTCACCGCCTCTTTGCTGGTGGTGAAGGAAATGGGCATTGGTGTTACGTGTGCAACGGAGTTGGTGGCGTTGACCACCAGTACCGATTTATCCCAATGACGGGACACCACATTCCCGCTAGCACTAGTTGTGCGTCTAGCCACACTGAACCAGGTGAAATGCCGAATTCGAGCTCGAAGACACGTGGAGCCCTGGTCGTCCGACACAACGGAGACGTCCTGCACGTCCATCTCCTGCCAGGGGTCATCTTCACTTTGCTTGGAGAGTATCTGGCGAATAATGGCGAAGGGTACAGAAGACATTAACATGTGAACGTGAACACGAACGTGATTCCAGCGAAGGTTGCATCAGCCGAACCAACAGAGAATTTACAAACTGCAAGAACCGGCTGCTGGTGCTTTGGTACCTGATATTCCCGCAAAACCTCCTCGCGTACGGCCGCCCTGTCCCACCACCACGCACGACCATCCCTCACGGCGAAGTCCAGCGTCAGTGGTTCCAAAAACGTCGTTCCGGCCGGACGGCAATGCACGGCCTGCAGCACGACGCACACGGAGTCATCGCTCCCTTTCACCACCTCGGCAGTCTCTTCCACCGTTATCGGTCCTATGCCACGACTCCAACAGGCATTCCGTGGGACCGAAACGCGCACACCACCACCCGTTCTCACGCATGGAGTGTCCTTACGCTCCAAGTTTCCAACGATAGTCACTTGCGAATTCAGAAAGAAAGAGGGGGTATGGGGTC